TTTTTTTTTTACTATTATTCAATTTTACCCCATGGAGCTACAAATACTCCCATAATCTTTTTGAAAACGTACATTTAATCAGATTGAAAATACTCTTACAAACAAAATCAATATTCATCATAAGAATCAGTCCCTGCCTGTTAGCACCGAGACAACGTTCAGCTCGTTTCTGATGCCGTCGGTCAAATCATAGCACACGTTTCATGTAGAAAACTTTTTCTTTGATACAGAATAATAAAAAGGGGTAAGACAAGATGCATAAAACAGGAATCCGAAGACTTGGTTGAAGCCGTGGTTCTGAATCTTGAATCCAGAGCTGTTCCAGAGCACCTGATGTGAACAGGACTGGATCTCTTCTTTCGTACTCCGTCTCAGGCATCTTACTCGTCCTCTGCGTCCCGTGTGCCGCGCTCTTTCAGACTTAAGCTGGCAGACTCAGCTTCTTTCCTTTCAACACTGAAATAATGAAAAGAAACACTTGAGTAGCTTCCAACAATCAGATCAGAACACCATTTATTAAGACAGCCACAACAGTCTTGCAAAGCATTTGTTTAGATCCTGATAAGCATGTCGTTAAGAGCCCACTGGAATCAATACAGCCAAACAATTAAACCCTAAACTACAATGATGATATACTATTGCAAGTAGGCAGGATGAGAGTTTGCGATGATGCACTTATGGGCCGAATGTGCTGTGCATGGTCTACACCACTGTATTAAAACAACCAAGCCTGAGATGGGTGTTCCTTAGTGATTACAGTGATGTTTGATCATTGCTAAACTAGTAGTAGTCACATTGATTTCACAATCAATAGTGGTTTAAAACACTGAAACCCATTTTATTTTTCCTGATTAAAAAGCAATTTTGCATATATGTATGGCTTATACATATATGCAAAATCTAAGACACTAGTTCTCAGTCCTTTTTACTCTAAAGCAATACTTTTTCCTCTAGTATTTTAGCTACTACTACTACTAATTCAATTAAATGATTGAATAATTCCTGATGGATGTTTGCTGAGAACCACTGAATTAAAAAATGCATTTTCAAAACAAGGATGGGCATTTCGGTCATTTTGTTAACTTAAGTACCTGACAGATTAATCGAGTACCTTGAGTTATTATTATGTTTTCAGGATTGATCACTGCTGTACCTGTATTTCAAAACCCTTTACACTAGCAGGTGCATTCTGAGCCTGAACAAAGAACACACCTGAGGGGTTTAAAACCCAAAATACTCACCTTTTGTTACGTAGAGATAAAAGAAATCGCAGTACAGGATTGTCTGAACGATGCCTGCCACGATGGCGATCATGTCGAAGAAGCCTTCGAAGTAGAAGCGCCAGATCCAGTTGATGAGATACAGCGCGCGATAGAGGCCGAGGAAGAACAGGTAGTGAGTGGTGATGGTCTCGGCTTCTCCGGTCTTGCTGATCATGAACAGTTGTGGGAGGATGGACACGGACTCCAGGTAGATGGAGAACGTCCACATGATCTACAATGAGGAGATGATGAGAATATAAATGGATAAACTTGTAGGGCTGCCCTCGACTAAGGATTTTTCTGGTCGACTTGCAGTCGTTCATTTTAAGCATTAATCGCACATTTGCTAATAAACCATTTAAATCATAATAATGAGCTTTTGTTTGCCTAGTATGCCTATACAGCCTGATAAGCGCTCAAGTGCACGCATAAAGCTTGCCACACCAAGTAATGATTATGATAAAACAGCAAGGAGGATGCATTAACTAGGGATGCACCGATATGAAAATTTTGGCCGATAC